CTGAAATTTGGCATGCATACTCGTGTATACTATACGCAGTACAAGTTTGTATTATTTGTTCGATAACTTGTTTTATCGAGAATAATCGAACAATTGATTTTGGTTTTCAGCCTCATTTGAATTTGTGTATATACATATGATGAATACAAACATATTGTAATTTACAGATTTTGGATACCACGTCCGCTTCGCCCCAAATTTGTAAAAACTATTTTCAAGTACTAGAGACTTGTGCTTTAGAATGTACACACATTCTAACCATATGATCACGCTCTGAAAGTTTCATAAAGATAGATAAGATGTATGTATGTGTGCATAAAAGAAGTGCATTTAAAGACTTATTCATGAATAAACGTGCTAGAATATCTAAATCTATATATTGATAAGTACAGCTCGGGTTCTTTTTAAAATGTGGGTACTTATTTAGCATATTGCTTTATAACTACTTTGAACTGATATTTTTATTTCAGGGAGCTGGTCATAATGATGTTGAACTACACCCGCAATACTACGAACGATTGAGAAAGTTTCTGTCCGTGGAGTTAATTAAATGACAATTAAAGATAAATGTCGATGGAAGTGTTTGTAATAACACGTCTGATGGAGCAAATTATTCGAATCCTCTAACAGCAAACGTAAAATTAAGTGAAAAACCTCCAACCACTCCGGACGCGACAGAAAATGAATCTAGTAACAAAAAAATTAAGCATGATGATAATGATGGTTAGTAACAATAACACAAATTAATTATATATATTACTATTCGGAAGTAGTATAGGATAATTATTAAATACATTTTAAATTATTACTATTTTTATTTAACGTATATATATATCTTCCGTTTCAGTTTCAAACTGTATACAATATTTGGTCAGTAATGTATAATGTTAAACAATAAAAAGGAATTAAAGTGTACGCTTTAAGATCTACAAGACAAATATATTTAGTTTTAGATTAGCGCGAAATTACTACAAATTTGTAAAGAATTTCCTAAAATTTGTATCCAAGATATTTATTCATTTACGAACAACTAGTGACCATAAATTTGTATATATGTTCTTTCCATTTCAGCAGTTCAAATTCATTTTGTATACTCCATTGAAAATTGGAAACTAGAGTATAATGGTTTTGTTAAAAGTATGTAACAGGCAGAAGGAGGCGTGGAAGAACCCACAAAGTATATATATATTATTGAACAGGGCGACAAGCTGAGTCGATTTGGCCCTGTCCGTCTGTCTGTCCGGCCGTCCGTATGTATGAACGCGTCGATCTCAGAAGATATAAGAGCTAGATACTGAAGTTTTTTTCCTTGGTCCGTCACGCGAATATCGAGTTTATCACTAAAAATTGATAACTGCTCCCGATATTTTACTCTCGATTAAAAACCTTATCGAAAGCCAGCTATTGTATTATAACTCTCCTTTAAAGCTAAAGCTTCCAAATTTTAAATGTAGATTTTATATAATTTTGGTTTTTGTTGTAATTTACCATTACCCCAATATTCTCCCCCTCACTATCACCTATGTAAAAGGCGTATTTCAAGTACTGTACATACATTTGAATATTATGATTAAGATCGTACGTCTAGAAATTAAATTATTCAACAAATAATTTCGTATAATATTGCGTATAATAATATAATAATTCGTATAATAAGCGCAGTCGCTGCTTACTGCGCAGTTAGTAGAGCGCGTTCTTATACGTGCGTGTGTATATATGTGTGCCTAAAAGAAGTGGAGGGGTCAGGGTAACTCCTAGTCGAGCAGTCTCGACTAGATTCTTATTTTTTATACCCTGAACCCATTGAAAATGGGAAATCATGGTATAATGTTTTTGTGAAAAAGTATGTAACAGGCAGAAGGAATCATCGGAGACCCCATAAACTGACTATTAGACGTGGAGACTTCAGATTTACTGTGTATATACATATGATGAATACAA